AGAGCCATTAGCACCAATCGAGATACACTCCTTACTGACGATAAAACATTATTACAGGACAATAAAGCGATTAGGTGCATTGCCACATACGATGCAGGGTGGGACTACATGATGGGTACGCTTAGGCGTTACTGGCCAATCCTTAAGTCCGATCCACACCTAAAAGAGGTAATCACTCCCTCCCCATCTGTGACCGCAAGGAGAGGAAAAAACTTTCGAGACACAAAGCCACCTAGCACTCCCAAAAAGGGGGCTTAACAACTATCTACCCAAAGGCACATACAAGTGTGGGCATTGCAGCGCATGCGAATTTATTGCAAGGGACTCTAAGGAGTTTAGAGACAGCAATAATACTGACACATTTCCAGTTCGGTCATTCTTTAATTGTAGAACTGAAGGAGTGATCTACCTACTTACCTGCTCATGCGGCATGAAATATGTGGGGAAAACCTTTAGACCCTTTAAATTGAGAATTAGGGAACATGTCAATTCAGTTAGGAGACCTTTAGAGACTCCGATATCCCGTCATTTGAAAATACATCATTCTAATTCATCAAAAAAGATTAGATTTATGGGAATTGAACATATCCCACAGACTCAACGAAAAGGGGACTGGGACCTAAAGCTGAGACAACGAGAATCCTACTGGATTTACAGACTTAAGACCCTCTCACCCGTAGGTTTAAATGAGGGCTTTTCATTTGCCGCTTTTTTGTAATTATAGCTATTTTTTGATGTGTATCATATCACAAGGACTACCCTACCTGTCCGTTTTTACGGATAGTAGGAGTAATTTATACTAGTTACACTTTAATCTTATCCTGTATGTAGCCTCTTTAACATACGGCCGTATAGCGATGATCGCATTAGATCAAACAAAGGTTCCCTCTACCTTATTGTATGCTGAGTTACATTAACCAATTATTGTCCCTACTATTTTTCACTTCACATTGCAGACAGGAATTTACTGTAAAGGGTTATAACTAATCCAATATAAGTTATTACTGACCTAATATAATTTTGACTTGGGTCAGCATACTGTGAAGGGTTACCACTAACCCAATATAATTCTAACCTTGGGTCCTTTGGCCCACCTTAATCATTCTTGCATATGTGAATGGTTAAGTAGAAACTGATTGGGTTAATCACCACAGTAGGGACCACACTACTTAGGCACTGTAGTTTACTTTCACACAGTATTGTAACTATAATATCCCTTATGGTTCGAAGGGACGTGCTTGGTGGGCGGCATTGTGATCTCATCATGGGTTCACGTCACATTGCCACTCCCCCCTCCCCCCTCCCCTATGCGCCCGGTCTTCCCACGTGTGCCTATTCTGATTGGATAATCAGATTATGACGTCTGGTCACGTGATCGGATCCGCGACCAATCGGGAGGCAGCCAGCTCGGTAACATACACCCACGTGGATACACAGCTGTTTGATCACAACTTGACAAGTAGTATATAAACGGCTACATGGCTACAGTACAGGTTCACTGCTCCTGACGACGGCATGCTAATATGCCGAAACGCGCGTCGAGCACATTTTAATTTATTTATTTTTCTTTTTCTTTTCTTTACCACTTATTTGGTAGCACAAGAATATGAATTTCTATTTAGGTTAATTTAATGGAAACTAGTTTATTGGACAGGCAGGGAGTGGTATGTAGGTAGGCACTTGTTTACAGTGCTGAGGTATATGGATTGTTTTTGTAGCTAACTTAGATAGACCTTCATAGATAGGGAGAGATATATACTGTAGGCACTTGTGTGTTTTTTCTCAGTGCCGAGGTATAGATATTTCTTTACCCATTTCCCACTTATTCCTGTCCTTTTCTATAGTGTTCTATAGGGCTTGGATTTTGTGAGATTTCTTTTTCTTTTCATCTCTCCCCTTTAGGTCTAGTATATGGGCTCATTTCCCCCATTAGCCCTAAGCTTTTCATTGTGATTACCAGTTTTCTCTATTCTCCACACTTTACTTATGCTATCTAGACTTGCATGACTTTTCTCTGATATAGCCTGGTCTCTCTCCTTTGAGTGAGTTAGCATTTAGAATTTGTATTTGTGCTGAGGAATTAGCATTCAGGTTTTGAATGCAAGTTTGAGGAATCACTGCCTCTTCCACACCTCCCTTATTTTCTGTCCATTTTTTATATTGCTCCTCTCATTAGGTTTAATAAAAGGTAGGGCTCCCTCTCCTTGTTTAACTATTCTTTCACTTAGGACCTTATGGTCTCACCTTCCTCTTCCTCTAATCGTATTTTGTGGGTTATTCCCCGTTAGGAAGAATAGTTCTAGGGCAGACACAGACCTTTGGGCCAATTAGGGACCCCAGGGTCAGTGTATATCCTTACTCTTTCCTCTCTATATTTAGCAGTTTAGCACCCAGAAAAAAGGAATGTTTACAATTGCGCTATAAGCGAACTATTAGACCCTTCTATTTGACTCTCAGATATGAAGTGCACCCCACTAATCTACCAGTTTGCAGCATTCTTTCCTAAGCTGTCCTTAACAGCTGTAGCATCCTCTCCCTACACTAATAAGAGCTCATCATGTGCGTGCGGCGCTACGCAACTCCAGCTTATATATAGAGGCTGGGTCACATGCTGCACTGGCCAATCACAGCCATGCCATTAGTAGACATGGCTGTGATGGCTTCTAAGGGTACACAAGTCAAACGCTTGTTGATTGGCTGCCCTGCAGCCTTTCAAAACGCGCCATTAAATCGCCGAACACCGAACTCCAAACCGAACATACACTGATATGTCCGTGTTCGGGTCCGGGGTCCAAAAAAACTAATGTTCGGTACGAACGCAAACTTTTTAGTTCGGGTAAGCTCAACTCTACTATTGTAGAGGATCTAATGTGTGTGCTTATGGAGTGTAGTGTATAGGGATACCAGTTTGTGTAGGTGATGCAGTGTGTTTGTGTGTAGTGGAAGCAGTGTGTTTTTGTGTAAGGGATAGAAAGCAGTGTGAGTTTGTGTAAGGGATAGAAAGCAGTGTGAGTTTGTGTATAAGGGATGTATTGTGTGAATATGTGTATGTAAGGGATGCAGTGTGTGTCTGTAAGGGGTGCATTGAGTGTGTGTAAGAGATGCATTGTGTTTCTTTGTGTATGTAAGAGAAGCACTGTGTGTTTGCATGTGTTTCTGTGTATGTGTGCAAAGGATGCATTGTCTTTATGTGTAAGGGTTGCATTGTGTGTGTGTAATGGATGCATTGTGTGTTTCTCTATGTGTAAGGGATGCATATTGTGGTTCTGTGTATGTATAGGGATGCATTATGTGTGTGAGTGTGTGCGCATAGTGTGAAAGAGCTCCCTGTCCTGCCCCCTCTCCTATAGAGCTCTCTCTTCCATCCCTTAGAGCTCTCCCCTGCCCCTTAGTGTTCTTTACATTCCCCCTACCGGTCTCTTCTCACCCCTCCCCCTGTGTTCTCCTCACTCCTCCTCCCTGTGTCCTTCTTACTCCCCTCCCCCATGTGTCCATCTTACTCCCCTCCCCCATGTGTCCATCTTACTCCCCTCCCTCTCCCCGTGTCCTTCTTACTCCCCCTGACCCTGTGTCCTTCTTACTCCCCTCCCTGTGTCCTTCTTACTCATGCCCTCCCCCTCTCTGTGTCCTTCTTACTCCCCTCCCCCTCCCTATGTTCTTTTTACTCCCCCATTCCTATGTTCTTTTTACTCCCCCATCCATATGTTCTTTTTACTCCCCCATCCCTATGTTCTTTTTACTCCCCCCATCCCTATGTTCTTTTTACTCCCCCGCCATTTTCTTCTCACCTCCCCTTCCCGTTGTGGCCGAGCTCCTCGTCCTCTTGTCAGTCCGGCCTGGCACCGCGCGGCACAGGAGATTCAGTTTCCTATTCCCAGCCGGACTGACAGGAAGTGCACACTGAGACTTCCTATCAGTCCGGCCGGGTTGCGGATCGGAAAGGAGCTCGGCCATGCTACAGGGAAGGGGAGGTGAGAAGAAACTGAGAGCTAGTGCTGCAGCCGCCGCTGAGGCAACTGCAGTATTAAAAGGACCGGTGATGGGGGCACAGGGTGCCCCCTCCTATATGGCACCCTCGGCGGCTGCCTAGTTCGCCTTAAAGGAAGCGACAGCCCTGTGTACACTATAACTGTTGGGGATAAAATCAGCTCGGGACCCTCTGTGGATGATGGATATTTGCCAACTCTTTATCAGATCTCTGGAAATTGGAAATGAAAAGCAGAGACATGTTCAATAACCAATTCAAATTCCTTTATTACGCAAATTATATTTATACCCCATTTTCATAGCAGGATGGGAGGGGGGAAAATGAGCATATGGGCGTGACAATGATGACAATAACATAGATTGTTTTTCACAAGTTATAAGCAGCTGTTTCTTGTTATATCCTATAATATAAAAGGCACATATATTTGATAAAAAACAGATATTTACAAATACCAAAATCTTGGACAATTAACAAGAACATTTCGAAATCAGTACTTTTCCTGTAACTAGGATTTTAGATAAATTTATTTCCGAGAATCGGAGATACAATTCCAAATTTATTCTTGGTTCAAATTAACCCTTATATGAACAGCTAGGAGGGATAGAGAAATGGATATTCGTATCTACAATTCCCCTCTTAGATCATATCATGATCTACCTTATGGAAAATATCCATGGGAGGCCTGCGGCAGAGAAACGAAAGGAGGTATATTCAGACGTGCTAATCACGTCTGCGGGACTTTCGTTATTTCTTCACCTCGACTTCCCCTATTTGCTCTGTGCCGTAGGTTTTCCCTCTAAGAGGAATTTGAGCTGTTGATTTTCAGCTATTTCCATTATCTGTTGAATTCATCTTTTAAGCGTACAAGTTAAATATTTCAAACAGCTGACATGTTAACCAATTTTAAACAGACTGAACATCATGTTATCTGTAGCTTGAGCCTTGGGTCAATACAGGCAAAGTGTATTATTCCCAACAACGGGAATATTATTATTATAATTCAAAACGTAAACTCATATAGTCAAAATGGGAATAATATCTATCCCCCCTCTTTGGACCAGGGTCTTGGATTACCAGTCCACCCAGTGAACTTGGGCCAGGTCAAAAAACCCAGTGGCAAAAGTTAATATTTGAGGAAAAAAGCACATCCTGGGAAACCTTGAGTGAGGGCCATGACTGTGTAGACATGTCATCCCCTCACGTTGACAGCATTAGTGACTTATAAAACCCGCACGTGTGAGTAAATAGCTCGGGTATCGTTATTGTGAAACACTTCTTGATTAGTTTGAAAAGGCCCATTTACATATTAAATCATGAGATAACTTATCCCAATCATAACCTTGCATCCTATGTCTCCTAATCATATCCCTATTTCAACTTTCCAGTCATATGCACACTTAATACATGAGAATCCATCCTTGGTACACTCAACATACATCAATGACACACATAGTACATCCATGCCTGAGTAAGCTAACATTTCCTCTCTCTCCGGCTAACTCTACAAAAATAAAAATAACAAAATAGTTCAATAGTCCAGCATTGTCCAGAAAAAAAGAAGTCTTTCAAGGAGTCTTTCAAGGAGTATAAAGAATCTTAGACACCATAAACATTATTCCATAATCTTAGACACCATAACATAGCTAAGGGTAGCAATATGGCTATCAACAAGACAATGTCAGCTTCCACATAGTTCTTAATTCTTCTGTTTGCTGGATGTTCACTACAATGCTCTGTGCAACAACCCAATTGTTGAATGTTCTGTGCAACAACCCAATTGTTGAAAGGTAGCATTAGACAGCACTGCACCTTCAGGACTTTCCAAGTTAGTTTATGTCCTCATAAGTAAGCATCTTAGTTTCTTCGGCCAGCATGGATTTTGACCAAACAGATTTAATTGCAAATAGGTAGGTAGGTAGGTCAGCCAGACAGATTGGTGTGTAGTCCCAAATATCAGGCGGCACAAATACTCCAGTACGGTCTCTTTAATAATACAAACACAAGGATCAGTACGACATCAATAAATTAATTATCTAGGCTAAACTCAAATTAGAGACTAAAGTTAAACCCTTAACTTGTGTAATATGTACTTCTCTCAGTGTTGCTTATATTTCACTGAATTTGTCCTTTATAAAATTTTAATACATAATTTCCCTTTAGAATGCCGTTGTATGGATGAGAGAAGCACTCATTCTATATAAATGCTTGTTGGACAGGATGAGTACTAAAACACTAACATATACATATATTAAATAATTCCCAATAAAATGCTGTTCTTAAACTTAAACCTTGATTTGATAATCTCAATTAATTACTTTAATAAAATTGGAATGCTGAATTCTGTCAAAAATTTTGTGGACCCCGATAACATTTTTTGGAAACCGAAACCTTTTATAGATCCCTATGTCCAAAAAGCCACCAGTTCTATATGTGCGTGATCATGTTTTAATACTGTACAGTTATCCCATTAAAACAATATTTTAAATTGTTTTTATTTTTCTCAGAACAACTAGGAATGAAATTGGAGAAACAAGGTGAATTACTATTGTTCTAAAGTGCTTTTGTTTAATACAGGTTTCGGAGGAGTTGTCTTGATGTGTTAAGGTTGCAAGTGGCCTCTGATAAGGAAGGGACAGCAAACTATAGACATATGTTATATTAAGTTGCCCTCACTTGTCAGATCTTAGAAACCCACTTATTTTATTGCAGATGCCTCTATGATACCACATTACAAGTTGACTAAGCATACTTATTATTATCCTATTTTATTTTAGTTATTTCACATTGCGCAGCCTATGCGAACAATGTCAAGGTCCCAACTTCAGCTTGTACATCCTCTAAGAGCCAGCATTAATACTGTTTTATCATTCAAAAATATATATAAAGTATTAAAAACATGAAATCTTTTATCACTTCCAAATTACTTTGTCTCGCCTGCTTAGGGTCACAATGCTGTAAACCCTGTGATTGATACAACATACTTGTTTCCTTCTTTCTTTATATCAAAACAACTTGCTGTATCTTTCTCATGAATCTTCCCAAGAAATTCAGTTGGGGTCAAAGAGGGCCTGTCACAGACCAACAGTTTGACCAAAAGTGAACAAGGAGGAAGCATATTCCATATGCAGGTCGAGATTACCTAACTCACACCCCCCTCTTTGTGTACCACACAGATATAATATTAATAAGCTATTGAAGATTTATTGTATATTTAAACTGTGTATGTATAGCACGGTTGTCTAGGGGTGTATACATAAACAGTGAAAGCAGAGTCTTCATATAGGGTTTGCAATTCTGACAGTCTGGGTCATAGGTGTAATGCAGACATGCGGTTAGGTACTTTTCCATTGTCAGAATACATTGAAAACACTACTATATTGCAAATATTAAAATCATATTGCAGCTTTATCCCATACCTGCAAGGATATGGTTGTAATACTTCAATTGAGTTCAAATTGAGTTTTTAAAAGACTAACCACAAAAACTACATTTTATATGCTTATCAAAAATGAGTTTAACCCCTTAGCGAGTTAATAGGGTGACCTCTTTCCATAATATGGTTCCTTTTATAATTATTATACTATTTATTCTCTTCTGGGTCTGCAAAATGCTTTCAATTTACTAATACAAATATAATACAGTAGTTTAGAATTGCCTCACTTATAATCATCAGAAATTGTCTGATCTCTATTAAAAATACCATTTCATCATTACGCTATAATCAATGAGGCATACTAGATGAATCTTAATCTTGGAAAAAAAACTATCCTATACATCCATTCATTTTTTCTTTTTATATAACCATATAACATAACAATTTTTATTAAAGATAACAATTTTTTCTTTTTCTTTGATTTAAATAATGCAATGCACTTTAAAAGTAGAGTTAACTCTAAATACTCCCCTAATAATATGGAGAGAGAGAGACATTTCAAATTGGAAACGTGGATCCACGATTTTGAAAAGCAGATTACTTTTTTCTTCTTTCCCAGGGGCCTCTTTCTTGTCGGCTGATCAGCGTTTTTTAATCTGTTGTAAAAAGAAACTAAAGGCTTGCGTTAATTATATGCAAATATTCTTTAAATATTCTTTATACTAATTGTAATATCACACATGTCATTTTATAACACAGAACACAACGAATGTAGCAGATATCCAGCAGACATGCCAATACAAAAAACGTATTCATTTTGAAATGAAAAGCAGAGACGTGTTCAATAACCAATTCAAATTCCTTTATTACACAAGTTATATTTATACCCCATTTTCATAGCAGGATGGGCGGGGGAAAAATGAGCATATGGGCATGACAATGATGACAATGACATGGATGGTTTTTCACAAGTTATAAGCAGCTGTTTCTTGTTATATCCTATATTATATAATGCATGTATATTTGATAAAAAACAGATATTTACAAATACCAAAATCTTGGACAATTAACAAGAACATTTCGAAATCAGTACTTTTCCTGTAACTAGGATTTTAGATAAATTTATTTCCGAGAATCGGAGATACAATTCCAAATTTATTCTTGGTTCTAATTAACCCTTATATGAACAGCTAGGATAGATAGTGAAATGGTTATTCGTATCTACAATAACAACTTACAGCATTTAAAGAAGAAGATTACTGTTTCTTGTACTATATCCAACTAGCTTGTTTAGCAGATAAACCCAAGTCAAACTCTGTAACTGAGGACAACTGCTACAAGCTAACATTGTGAGCACTATTTCAAATAACAGTACCAAGCCAAAACTGTATCATTGTTGCAAATACTGTGGACTTTTCATTTTTTCCAGTGACTCTTTCAAATATATACTAATATAATTTTATATATGTATGAAAATTAGATCATACATGCTGCAAAACTTGTGGACTTTTACACTGTGATTTATTTTTGCAAATATTGACTTTTTTATAGAATTTTAAGTAATTTAACCCATTTTATAAGTATTGATTTCATAAGTATTGATTTTTAAGATAATCGACTTATTTAACGTTTTACAAGATACATATCCTATATCACTCCTGGACACCTATTAGAGCGTATCTAACATCTTATCCTCATTGACATTTATCAAAGACTGCATTGTGGCCAAAGATAAACTGAATGCATCCGGCATTCCAACTAAGTGTGGGATTTTTATTTCACGCTTTGCGATAGCTGTTATAGTGTGGGAAAGCCTATATAAGGGCTTTTCCTGTTATCAGAGCTCATTCTGCGGCAAGCCCTTCATGGATGAAGATAGTTTTTTTTTTATTGTGTCACAATTTTCATATATTTTTAATAATAATCAGTGACATTAGTTATTAAAGATTTTATTTTGGCTTTTTTGGAATAAGAAGAAAAATACTTCTGATGTTAAGTAGAATTTGTTTCTGCAGGTTTTAGAATTATTTTTCTTATTATGGTGAGGGTAGTAGATAGGGACTTTAATTTATTTTAGAGGAGACTAGGGGACCCGTAGTCACTGGGGCTGGGTATGCTTTTATTTGGGGGGAGAACGATGACATGTCCACCCATGCCATATTTTTTCATAAATTAGGGCTTTCACTAGTCGCTTATGTGGGGGCACTACAACCTACCTATATATTATTAACATTTAAGTACCTACCCATCTATCATGAGTGTAGGCAGGGGGAGTACACTATGTCCTCTCCCATTAATATTAGAGTAGCCCCTTCCTATAAACAAGGAATTTTTATTTTCTGACGGTAGAGGATATACTTATACCTCTAGTGGAGCACTACAAGTTACCCCTTGTATGTAATTTTATCTACAGGAGAGTATATCCAGTGCATAAAGACAAAAAAAGTAACACAATATAGTGCAGATGGTAATTCTATATAGATAATATATCTATAGGTGAAAAGGGTCACTAACATGTGATAAAACATATATATTTTGGCTCTGTGTATTTGACTGTTATGCTCTTAGGGCAGCATCACACCATTCCATCAATGGAATGTTTCCTCCGGAAAAGAGAAATAGAAGAGAGATAGGCCACTAATGTGTAATATCACCAGTATAAAATCAATAAAATATTAAATTAGGTATTGAGCTCACCTTTTATATAGTCTAAGTTCCTGGCACTTTCCCCAATGAAGATTCCTGAGGCTTTAGAGGACTCTTAAAAATACTATTACATTTATTGACAAAAAAAGAATAAAACAGTAAATCTAAAACAAAAGTATAAAATACTGTCCATACTTATATGAAAGGAATCCTTGTCAGCCAAAACATGTTTCACTCCTTCCTGAGCTTCTACAGACAGCTGTGTGTTAGTCCCAAGAATTTTCCATCTTTAACTGTCTTGTAGTCCCTCACCTTAAGTCTCATGTGGCTTGCATTTAGCCAATTTTATTGGTTTCAGACTCCCTGCCCCTCTAATTAAGTATATTTACATGTGGTAATCTTATCCTATTGGGTGGTTAAAATTCCACCTTTTTTCGCCATACACTTCATTGGTGTTTAGTAGGAATTCATGGAGGCATGTCATGCACACCCCCCAATCTGGACAAAATTCAAACATTTTGGTGCCTGATTTAGTGATTTTGCAGTTCAAATGGCCCCATCTTTTGTCCCCTGCTTATTCTTGGGCAACATTATAGTAGTAGATGCAGATGTCTGATATAATGGGAGAGATGTTTTAAAGGACCAAAAGTGAGTCAATCACCCAGCAAGTAGGTTTCATTGGTTACTCCTCCCTTTTTACATATTTTCACCACTTTTTAGAACACTTTAATAAATCTCCACAAAAATTTACACCTTCATTTACTACTATGTAAAGCAAAACTAGTAGTCAAAATATCCTAGCTTCTAAACTTTAGACACTACTAAGGACAAGAAAAGTGAAAAACAAAAATAAAAACAAGGGCTGCGCCACAGTAAATAGTAAATAAATAAACACTGTCCAATTCCAATGATGGAAGCAAATATAAAAGAAGGTCCAAACTAGGTATCCTCCTCTTTAAAGTGCTGTGTACAGGGTCAAGGTCCTCGGACGTTTTTGTGGTTCCACTTATATGAAAATAAAAGAAGAGGGACAACCAATAGTACAATATGTATAGCTCAAATGAAAACCCTCGGTAAAAATAATGGTAGAGAACTCACATTTATAAGAGCTATATCCAGCTCTAGGGTAAAGTGCATACAGCGGTATAATCCCCGCTTGTGGGATATATGGTGAGTACCTCTCTGTCACTGGTGTCCAATACTCAAAAGAGAGGAGATAAAAGAGACAGCCAATACTGCTCTCTGTATAACAATTTCACAGGTAATTAATTAAAATGTAACTTACAAGTGCAGAGCAGACCTACTGCTCTTTGATGTCACCGTTGGTGGAATGATCCCCACCTAGGATTTCTTGGGGTACAGGAAACGTCCTGGGCAGTGGCGGATCCAGGGGGGGCAACGGGGCAATTGCCCCCCCCGAGAAATCCGCCGGTCTCCCTCTCCCTCCCCTGTCAGCACATGCAGGTGCCAGCCCTGCAATGTGCCTGCGGACCGGGGGGGGAGATCAGAGAACTCCCTCCCCGGTCCGCAGGCACCTTGCTGACAGCCGGCGGCGGAGGGAGGGAGTGAAAGGGAGGACCCGGAGCTCAGCCTGCAGCTCCTCCGGGTCCTCCTCGCTCGAGATTTGGAGCGTTGCCGCGGTTACCACGGTAACGCTCCAAATCTCGCGAGAGTGAACTCTAGCCAGGAGCGCGGGCTAGAGTTCACTCTGACCACCTGACCACCAGGGAATCACCACTGGGACCACCAGGGAAATGTCCCCCCTCCTTCTAAATAAAGGTAAGAAGGGAGGGGGGACATAGAATATTTATATTAAAAATTCAAATAAAAAAATATATATTAAAAAAAAAAAGCCCTTATCACACACACACACTTTACACACATACACTGATCCCCATACTGCCCCCCCATACACCCATACTGCCCCCCAATACACACACATTGCCCCCATACTGCCCCCAATACACAC